CCGCCTCCGCGTGAGCCAGGCCGGGTCTGTGCTGCCCGGGCAGGCACAGCCATGTTCATGAAGGCTCGGCTTGTCTCCTGAGCTTCTCGTGGCTCTCCCAGGCAGAGAGAAACCCCTGACAGTGACGATTAAAGCTTCACCTGAAGCCACACCGTTTTCCATCCAGCCACCGGGAGGTCACATTGTCCCTCAGCTGCTGTGCTGGGGTTTAGACCCTAAGCCAGTCCTGACTGAGGGAGCTGGGCTCCAGCACCGAGCCAGCCCGTGCCCCACGCCCGCAGCCGGAGCAGAGCGGACACCCACCCGTGCTCGCCGTGGTGCGCTACACCCCTGCCCTGCCCAACGACAGAGAATGTCCCTCTGCTCGGGCAGCAGCTCAGCCCAGCAGGAAGCCTTCAGACACAGTGCTGAGGGAGCTGGGTGCTCTCCTGGGACCCCGGGACAGCTCACACGGCCACCAGGTAGCACCAAGCTGGTGGCCGGGTCTCCATCCTCCAAGCTTTGCGGGCTGTGGCCTCGGCCCTTCGTCCCTCTTGCCCGTGACTGTGCGTTCCCACGTCCTGACCGCTGTCTGAGACAGGACGGGTGCAGATTTCAACTTCAGGCCTGAACAAAGCGGGGGGAAGGAGGGGGAGAACTCATCCTCGGATGCAGTCGAAACCCACCCGTGTGAGCCTGAGCGAGTGGCTGCCAGGCAGCCCCGCTGCTGGGGGATGCCAGCCCGGGTGACCGTGACAGTCCCTGCCCACCCGCAGCGGTCCGTGTCTGTAACTGCCCGAGCAGGAGTGAGACGTCCCCTGCGGACGGTACCTTGCCCAGCTGCAGGTCGGACAGGGAGCAGGCGTCGATGAAGGCCTGGGCTATCACCGAGAGACAGGCGTCGATGTGGTCTGTCTTGTCAATGTCGAAGACGAACTGGGGGTTCTTCAGGATGTTGACCCAAAACCTCAGAGGTAGGCTGCGAGGGAAACAAGCCAGGAACACACACCGGGTGAAATTCTGTGCTCCAGAGGGGGAGGGGAGGACATGCAGGAACGATGATGATAGCAAGTGAATAGTAGAGAGGGAAAAAATGAGGAGCCGGGGTCTGCTGTTTAACCACGTCCGGGTAGCGTACGGCCCTCTGCCTAGCTAGCAGGGCAGGCACACGTCTCCAACCCGAAGAGACCTTCCTTCAGGCTGAAGGTCGTGGCAGACAGGAGCCTTCGCGCACAGCCTGGTCTAGGTGAGCGGGTGCCCTCACTGCTCCAGCAGCTCCCGGAGCCGGCTCTGGCCCAGGGGAGACCCGGGCAGGTTTGCCAGCACGGGGCTGCTGGGCCAGCCTTCCTCACGTCCTGATTTTTGTAGCAATGGTGTCAGCTCCTTCTCCATCTTCCCAACAGTTACCATCACCTGGTTCTGACGGTAAGCCTGGCCCCGTGAAATACATTCCATGTCTCTTTTTTCCATTTTCTCCCCCTGTTCTATCAGTGCCCATTTGGGCACGACGCAGTTTCAGTATATCACTCGCCCTTCCTATCACCCCTCCTCAGCAGCTCAGGAGTGAAAGCCGCCGCTATAAGTCTTTGCTCTGCTGGCAATTAAAGGTAATGAAGGGTAGGCAAATCTGCAGCTCAGGGGTTGTGTCTGCACGCCTGCTATCCCAGCCAAATTTGTTTTTAATTTTAACATGTCGGACTGGAAACATTTACTGCCCCTGCAGCGCTGAGTCTCTCCTGACGCTCGCTCCAGGCTCCCTGCTCTCCCCGGTTGAACCTCCTGGTTTCTCCCCTGATCTATTTGCCCCCTTCGCTTTGTCTCGCCCACCCCATTCCT